GCTTGCCTTGAGCCTAAGCTTAGGTCTTTAACTCGATTCCGTGTTTTACGAACAGCTTCTGTCAATCAGATATTTCTTTTGTGCTTTCATCTAAGCGATCACCGTTCCCCTAGAATTTCTATGACTACATTCCATCATGAAACTTTAAAATTAGCACACTGCGAAAAAATATCCTTTCTTCTCAGTTAACTCATGTAATAAAACGCGTGCGTTTTAGCATTTTTTTTATAAGAATCGTAATTTCGGCATTGCACTCCGATATTCATTATCCGATTATACTTCTATTTTTGCTCTTTAAAGTTTCGAAGCAGAGCATATACACACGCATACAGCATTTCCTGCTATTGCTAGATCTTCGTTAGAAGTTTACATACTTACGACACTCGCGGCTCCTCGGCACCTTCCTTTAAATTCTAATTTCTTATACGGAATTGAAGCAGCTGGCAATTATTCAAGAATTTCTAAGACGTGATTCTGGTGTCAAAAGCTGTGCAACGAGAATTGAGGACAAATCACCGAGATCGACAAATTCCAAAAGTTTAAAGCGCATTCAAGAAGTTCGATGAATTAATCGACAAAGAAGACCGCGCGGACCTCACATTATCATATGATTTTTGCCTCGTGGCTTCAGGCAAATTCGGATCTATACCTTTGGAAATTTTGAAACGAATCCACATTTGTAAATTAACCATTTCTGCGGCAAGAAGGATATTTCGTTAATGAATTTCAATTTGACATGAATTATTCCGCTTGTTACCTCATTTAAATTAATTAATTACCGACATTTCAGTTGTAATTTCAACCCGCAATTATTCGGTCACACTAGACCGAATTATTAGGTGAAACTGTATGTTATAATATTGCAAACTGACAACCAATAAATTCACAATTAGCACTTCGTACTATAATTATGTCTCTGGCATGTGATTTCACTTTTTCCTGAGTTTAAGCTTTCACTAAAATTCTTTTCTGGTTCGATATACTTTTCATTAATTGAATGAAATATTACATCTTGAGAGACTTATAAGTTCCAAAGAAAAATAGTGCCATTACGCGAAACGGCAATTAAACAATAAAACGCTATCAAATTCTATGTTGAATCTAGAATACACAATTACTGTTTTAGAAGCTTTCAGAATCCCTATCTTTCCATGCAACTACCCGAACTTAAAATCCTACTGATTAACTAGATATCCTTCCTTATCCACCTCTATCCCATCCTTTACCCTCGGCATAGGAGAAACTTCTGTCCAGCTTCCGTCGAGTCAAAAGAAACCCACCTCCTTTACTCGCCGAAATCAAAATTCCCGTCAAGCTTGGCCAAATCTCGGGTAACTTAAACCTTGCTGGAATTTCCGAACTTCCTGACTCCGCTATTCGAGCGTGTTTTTCCAGCTGCCTACGTAAACTTATCGCTCCGAATTTTCTTTTTCCTCCCTCCTCTCCTTTTTTCTACCTTACTATTTCGTCCGATCTTACAATTCCTTTGTCACCTTTCTTCGTCTTCCTGGTAGCTCTCCTCAGTCCCTCACCCACTGTTTACAGATACACTTCATGAATTCTGCCATTGACTGGTGACACGTGATTCGCGTTCAGTCCAAATACCCCAGCTTCGATGTCGTCCCTAGGCGCAATCTGGATCAGTTGCAATCTCGTTTTCACGGTTTTCACCCCTGGCACGTATCTCTCCAAACTTCCATATCTACATTCATTATTTCCGATTTACACGATATCGGAAATAACAGTATGCACATACGTATCGCTCTAAAACGTTTCGAATGTGAACACACGTGGCGAAAAATTTGATACTTTCCGAAATGACGTTTGAAAGTCTCGACGAATCTTGTATCTTCGACGAAGTCTTCGAAGTTTCCTCAAATTCGTAATTCTAATTTGTTTATTTAATAAACAAGATCTTAATCTTTAATTACGCCGGACCCTTTCTATTAAATTACAAAGACGGTTACTAAAAGTTTTTCAATACTCTTCATTCCAATTTTTTTATTTAATAAAAAAGATCTTAACATTTAATTACAACCGAGCTTTTTTTTATAAAATTATAAAAATGATTACTAAAAGGTTTTCCAGTACTCTTAATGCCATTTTATTTATTTAATAAAAAGAATCTTAACCTTTAACTATATTCGATCTTTTTTATTAAATTATGAAAACGATAACTCAAAGTTTCCCCAGTACTCATAATTTGTTTATTGAATGAAAAAACTCAATCTTTTACTACATACTATGTCCAAATTTTTTTGTATGGTTGCTCTGGTTGCTTGACTTTTACTCTTGTTACATATGCTTTCAAACTTGGATTTCCACATCTACCATTCGTGATCAGGGACTCGATAGGAGGGACACATGTTACCCCGAATTTAACTAATCTTGCTAATCCAACCTGGTGTGAACGTTTTCACCATCGGACATTTGTCGATCACACTTGATCCGTCCCTTCCAGATTAAAACTGGTTCTTTCGTCCTCCATCAGTGGGATACGTAATAGTGAAAGAGAGATGCTACTTGTTCCGGCGTCGCGTTATCGATCTGTTATTCGCAGAATCGGATTCCGGGCGTTTTTTCCGCTTCGAAATTGGATTTCTACTCGATGCAAAGCAGCTTTCTTGCCGCTGCTCACTGAGGTGAGGGAATTTTTCCTTCTATATATGTACATATGTGAGCAAGCGGTCGAGTTTTATGTGCAAGATTAAGCTTTCTCTATCTCATTGTTTTTTCCTCCAACGGGAATGGGATTGTTTTGAAGGGTGGGAATGGATGTGAGTCCGCAGAAATATCATTCTAGTTTTGTGATGCGCATTTGTTTGCAGCACTTCTTTCGTTGAGGATAAATCTGAAAATGCAATTTGTTTCTTGCACACTCTGTGCTATCTGTTCATTCCTCTTTACATGAAATTCGTATGGTGGATTTGATTCTTGGTCAGCGTTATTTAACGAGCTCTGTCGCTTTATAATATTTTGAAAAGTTGTTGGAAAGACAATTTTCTATAGAGGAGATATATTGAGTTTTATAGATATTCAAAATTAACCTACAACTATTTTATACGCTGTTTGTCCAACGATATTTAAATATCGATATGCTCCTTGTTCGGCTATTTCATCTTGTAAAACTCACTTTCCTTGAATCTTAATATTTCTGATCTTTCCTTGCACTTCTTGATTCCGTTTACCGACAAATGTTCTTCCACCCTTTTCTTCTCTATGAACGTCTTCGCAATTATTTCTAAATGAAAACGATTCTATTCTGCACGCTACTCTTCTGCACGTTATCTTTTCCCACGTTGCCTCATTCGGTATTCCATAATCTATTGCCGAGGTATCCATTATCACGGCAGAGGTGTGATCTCGGTCAATATTACCCTCTATATTACCACCGAGGATGCTTTAACCCATCTTGTCTATTAATCTTATGAGCTGTTCTCCTTGGCCGTTCGCGTGTTTATCTTTGGAGTTCCTTGGTCTATCCTCCTTCTCACCGTTCCATAGCACTTCCCATTGGGCTCTCGTTTTAGCGTTAAAGTCGCCTCTGAATAACAGATTTTCTTCGGTATCTTTTTGCTACCCTATTTCTTCTAATATTTCCGATAATTTTGTTGCTACACCTCTTTTATACACTGAAATTACATTCCATTTCTCTGTGTCTAATAGAAGTATCGTTTCCATGATACTTATTGAACTCTTTCGAACTTCTATTTTTTCTATATTTCTGTTTATTCCTATTAATATTCCCTATTATGCTTCTACATCTTATGTTATTACCGTTTATGCCGAAAGAGGATATTAATTAACTAATACAAGAAAAGATATTCAAAAGATATTCAACGAATCGTGATAAATGAATGAAATGAAATTTTGAAAATTAAACTATGGCTATGGAACTAAGACTTTCATCGTGGAAACGTTGTATGAAAGGTACAGAATTTTCCAGCGATTACATCGATAGTTATTTAACGAAAAACCTTATAATTTCGAATACGTCACACAGTAGAATTACACAAAATGCTAATTAACATAAAGCAGCAAGACTAATAGAAGTTTACACGCCCGAAGGCTGTGTTATTTCGGCCCAACTAATTATATCTTCTCTGTTTATTCGGATACAATGGGGAGGAACTAATTTGACGAAGCTTGTTCATTAATCTTTTGAATCGAGATAACGATTTGCACGAGTAGCTTCGTAAATTATCTAGGAAGCAACATGCTATCCTATTTACCGTTGTTTTCGCATTTTACATCTCTGCTGTGACTTCCATTTTACTAGATAGGAAGTATATTGGAATGAAAGTAGGACGAAAGTTGCAGAAATGAAATTAATTAACAACTGATGTAATGTAATGTAACTTCACGGTTTTTAATACATATTTAAATAATTCTGAATTCTAATTATATAAAAATATAATTGCAATCGTAGCCAATCAGTTCATATTATTTGCTATAAAATGCCTAATTGTATTATGGCTATTAACTATAATCTCTAACAAAAAGTTTCCCATCAAATGCGATGATACGAAATTGACAAAATGAGAAATAATACTATTATTTCATAAAATTAAGTTAATAAACTTAAAGGAAGCGGTTGCATATAATGACACAATTAGTAATCGTGTTAGTAATAATACGATTGCCCAAGTTTCATCAAGTGAAGGTACTGCGATTTGAGACTCTCGAAGGGCTTACTGGGATAACGATATACTGGTCCATCCACCTTTCTTTTATGAGCAAACATCGAAACTAAATTTGGAACATTAGTATGTAAAAAAATTCTCCTCACAGCGTGCGTTTGCAAAACGTTCAGTCTCTTGATCGTTATGCAAAACATGCAATAAAATTCAAGGAAAACTGACAGGGAAAACTAATCTAAAAATTAAATTTTAAACTAATTATGTAATTCTATATGAGATACTGTTTCATACGGGGTTAAAAAAATTATAGAGTAACTGACAATTAACGAGTGTAAGATGAGGAAAACAGAATTAAATGTTTTACAAATGATTTATATATTTATTAACTACTTTATTACATTATTACATTACTCCATTACTTAGTTACTAACTACATATGCTAACCATCAGTAATTACACATGCACTTATCTATTAATATATCATAAATAAATACACAATTAATTATAGTATTTAGTAGATAGTAATAGTAGTTATCGTGTCGCATATCGTATAAAATCTTCACTAAAAAATAACTACTCATTAACTGCTTAACTCAGAAACAGATTTTCTAACTGTAAATTTATCCCTCCCTAACAATATACATATCATATAAGGTCTCCACTAAAAAGTAACTATTAAGCAACTCTGTAGCAAAACAATACCTATCTCAATTTTTAATTTGAAATTTATTCTCATCTACCAATAAAATAACTAGCCTTCTAACTCAAAAGCATCCTTCCTAACCATAAATTTATCCTTGTTTTACAATAAATCCGAACTGTCTTATATATATATATAAGTATCTAATTATAACAAGAAAAAAGGAAAGGAGTGTCGTGTGGGATTAATATACCTTCTAAGCTTGACTACCTTTCTGTATATCCTGAAATACCATGGATCTCTGTCAACTTAAAATATTGTATAGGTCCTATCACAGATCTGAAAATGTTATACACCGTATCCTTACAAAAATCTAATGATTTGTTTAAGGTTTTTATCTATCTAAGAATCTAAATACAATAAGGTAAATGGATATAGTATGAGATACACATATGTATGTGTCTTTATCCACACTTTATCATATTTCACAACACTAATAAAAAAAATAGAAATATAAAAACAAAGAGAGACATATACATTGCCCCCCCTCCTCCAAAAAAGAAGAAAAATACTACAACTGCAGATATTAAAAACGAGCATAGTAACAAAATAGTAATGAGAATGGCTTTCCATGCTTTGCATGATCCAGAATCCTCCTCTATGGAAAATTTTTCGGGTCTCTTTGGGTCGTAGCCTCTTTTTTCTTCGGGTGCAATGCCTGCTGAAACTTAAATCTAGTTCGAAGCTTTCTGATTGCGAAACAAAAAATAATTTATAAAGTAGGAATAAAAATATAAATTGTGAAAACTGATTCAAAGACACATGATCGAGCAACGATCATAATGATCGCTGTATGTTCGCACATGCACGCTCGCGCAATAAATAAACATTAGTTTGGAATCCTACTCACGACCACGATCGCAAAAGTCGAAGAATCGATGGGCAAAGCCAGATACGAGTGGCATGCACCATTCATTCCAGCTTCACCTTCAAATTTCCTGGGACTGGTTGGACACGCGAAAGCATGCCTAGAAGAAAGACTACGGCTGCCCGGTCCTTCCTAATTATGATTTAACACTCATACCAGAAAGTATGCTATGTATCCCATTCAGTCCTATTTTTAACAAAATGACAAGAGACAGACACAGCAATACACTCGTTCTATAGTTGTCACACATAGCCCGGGCATAAGGATTTTCATTAAAGAGACGTTCCAAGACGCCTCCGACAGTCGTCGAGTTTAACAAACAACTTGCACACTCTAATGCACGTACTATTTCCTGTAATCGACTGACGATGGCTAGTAAACATTGCAAGGAATATGATAAGACCCGTGTAAACCTTTACTTTAATTCTAAGTATTCATACATATTCTTAAGAAAATTATATTACTGACACAAATGATATAAAATATAATAATACGATTAATAATATCGCTAACTGTAATCTGGTTATTTAATATTGGATCTGATACTGTTATTGCACATTGCAATTAGATTATTATTTGTATGAATCTTATTTTATGGTTGAAATTATAGTAAATGAATTAAAAGTCAAAATGACACAATTCCATAATCTAACCTAACAGATATACATGTGGAAAATATGTCCTGCACGATACACTAACACATCATCGGCCTAGCAAATTATTCGATATATGATCATCGTACCTATGGTCTTTCTCCCACTCAAATAGCATCTGGACACGTGAGTGAGATCCTGACAGTGGATACGGAAGCGGTTAAATCTAAAAATCTTGAATTAAAAAGCTGATTGGCTTGTCTGTTATATTATACTTTGTATTTGGCAGACTAATATTCTTTAAATTTGTATTTTATTACTTTATTTTACATTGTAATAACTCTAACTTATTAATTTTACTTAATTACATCTACATTATTATATTATTGAAATTTTAACACTTAATTGAAAAAAATTAGCAGCAAGTAAGAAATATACTTATTAGAAGAAGGACAAATATCAGTGAGATAATTGATACTAAATTTAATATTGATAAAAATAATTTCAGGCAATTTTCTCATTAAAGTACATTTTCGAAGACACAAAAGAAATTTTCAAACTTATTGCTTTGATATAAAAATCAACTCTATCGCGAAATTTCTTCTTGTACTTAAAATATCATACATTCGTGTGGCGGAAATTGAACTTTAATATCTTTATGTATTCAATTCTATGAAGCTTATAATGTAGAAGTCAAATAATTAAATAACTCAATAGTTTCATAAAACAGAAACATGAAATTGAAAATTACTTACTACATCCAATAATAACGATAGTGTCTATTGTTATTACTATCGTGTAATAATTGCAGCTTTGATAGTAATGAAGTCGGAAAGTATCCGATTTCCCTGCTACTAAATACTCAAATGAAGTTACATCAATATTTGATATTTCGCTATTCATAGCTTACTTTGCCATTTATATTTATATAGATGTATATTTGCATGAATATTTAGTTTTTACAAATATTCATATTGAACACGTTTTAATTTTATAAATTCTCAAATACATGCGTTTGAATTAACTATTAAAAACCGCGATGTGCAAAAACCTATTCTGAACTAATAAATAAATCACAAAACTATGTGTTATTATTTATGGGTACAATAAATACCAGCGGTCAGTATGCTCGCAAAAAATTCGACGAAAAATACAGCCAATCACACGTGTCGACTCGTATCTTTCATCCTACGACATGATTAAATGACTGGAAGAATAAAAATGTATGCGACTCACCATTGAACACCGAGGATATTACCATCAATATTGCAGTAGCCCAGAAGAAATCATCACGATGGTCGTTATCAAGCATGGACCATCAAATTCGACGAGGACGACGGCTGTGAAAAATTTCTAAAAAAATGTGGAACGTTACAGTTATTCTTAAATGTACAATGTCAATTATTTCAGAGAGTTCTACATCAATAGAAAAACTTCGACCAGATTGATTGAAATATAATATAGTATGCGAAGATACTTACAATTTTGACTTCTGAAGCACCATTAGATCCTCCCCAGAGAATAGGAAAAAGCACAGAAGGGTGTGAAACATCTTTAACAAAATGCAGAATATTACAATTTATCCCTAAAGATATAGTGTTGATTATTGGAAAAGTTTAATGATAAGATGGGAAATAGTATTAATTGAAATATGATATACAAAGATATTTACACTTTCGGCTGCTGGAGCATAGCTAGATTCCCACCAGAAGATAGGAAGAAGTAGAGTATGTCGACCATCTTTAACAAAATATGAAATATTATAAATTATTTCTAAAGGCAGTATTGACTATTAGAAAATTTTGATTATAAAAAAAAATAAAATTAATTCAAATGCAATGTATAAAGATATTTACGCTTTTAAATATTGAAGCATTGCTAGATTCTCTCAGATAATAAGAAGTAGATATTCAGATAATAAGTCTGTAACAAGACATAAATTACTTCTTCTTAACTTGCTCTTAGAAAAAGTAGTGTTAATAATAAGCACGATATTCAAGATACTTATATTCTTTAATATTGGAGAGACTAAATCCTTTTGCACGAAGCACTGATTCTAATTTCAAAAAGGAATTTTTATAAAAAAATATATATTAAAAAAATAAAAAATAAAGGACTTTAACACGCGCATTTATTGTATGCGAAATGAGTCATTTCGCATACAAATTATTTACTTCATAAAATTTGAAAACTAGTTTCGCGCGTGATAATCGATAATCAATTAGAGCTAGTGTGCTCTGAAAAATATTTGAAGATCTATTACGGAGCAATCAGTAATTCTACCAATTATATTGCGCGCGATCATAAAAATCTTCTGGACATAAAACTGAATTAGTGTAAATTAATGTAATAGAAAAAGAAGTAAAAAAATATTTTCATATCTTCCTTCTTATTTGTATTTGAGCGTTTGTTAGGGAAATACTATCCCCTTTTTAAAAATATGTGATTATTTTTTATATTCCATTAATAGAAGTATTATAAATATTGTTAAAAAATAAATATTGTTAAAAAATAGAATATGTGTACTCACATATCTACATATCATAAATATACGTATGAATAAAAAATATATATTTGTATATATGTAAAACATTATTTATGAATTAAAAAGTATTTTCTACTATTGCAAATATTCAGAAATATCGCAAATGTAATACGATTGATTTGTAAGAATTATAAAGTTTGGACGTGTAGAGCATGATTCGTAATAATAAACTATGTCGCGCGTTAACAATATTCAAGAACGTTTGCAAGAAATCAAAATTCCAAAATAAAACATGCCTCAAGGTATAATAACACTACGCAAAATCCGCGTGTGGTCTTGCATTGACTGAAACATGTTTGAACGTATCAATTACCTCGTACTCTTCCGACAGAAAAAATGTTACATATTTACAATCCATACTACCGCAGAGTGTCGGGTTTGAAACGCAGAAAAATGTAAAAATAAATTATTTCATCTTTTCTAACTGTATTTTATGATATGAATTGAAGCAATGAAATATTACGTTTAAGTTATTTAATAAAAAGAAAAAGAAATTGTAAATTACATGACAAGCACATCAAGAAATAAATATATATATTATCAATAATCTAATGAAAAAGTATACATACATCTATAACTGCTATTTAATTAATAAATTTAGCATTTCCAAATCTGCATGAAAAAGGCAGGGGTGTTTATTCTTTATGCTTCATTTTCTTTCATGACATCTCTGTAGTTAACAGCAATCAACCAACAATCTATATATTTAAAAAACCAAGAAATTAACCAAACAAATGATATTAATAGCAATTATAATAAAATGAAACGATAACCGATCTAGATTACTATCTTGCAAGGAGACACGAGAAGCTACTGGCAAATCTGACAATCGAATAAACGGTCAAAGAAAAAAGAACAAAATAAGTCTCGTGATTACCTGATTTTACTACCGAAATGTTTAGTAAACGATAAAGTAAACGTGCATTAATTAAACAATATTAATCACAACGTATAAACAGTAATACAATAGTAATGAAAAACCGACGCCATCGAAAGGTTAGATTACGCTACAGATCTGACACGAAGAAATACGTCTCATCGCCACGACGGTTGACGACGGAATATCTCTACAGAGGTATGCCCTCTACAGAGGCATTACCTTGCGAATTTCTAATTGGTGGAGAGATCAGTGTGCGTTCTATACAACGCCGCGCGCCAAATTGAAATTCTAACACTTTGGAAATCTTCTCTAATTAACTCATTGTGATTTAAAAATAAAAAAGATACAAAGTAAATGGATAACAGGTTTAGAAAGAAATTAAATTATTCTATTTACATACATAATATATAATAAATAATCCATTGTTAATAATATATGTATTATAAAATTAATTAATAATTCATTAAGCTTTCCTAAGAAAACGAGCGTATTAAAATGGGAAAGTACAATCATCCTGTTCAAATTATTATTCTTCTTCCTCTACAAAGATATCTACTGTCATTCTGTGATCCCAATAACTTTAAAGCATAATTACTAAAGGCACATAATTGAAACTAATGTCCTATAACTTTGTCCCGTACGTACGCTTACTTTCTTTGCCTAATGTCTTCATTATGCACCATGTTTACATTAACACGTCCTTTTCTTAAACAGTTCGTCAATATTCGTTGTTATTCTCTACTTTTATTACTAAGAAAGCACATGTAACAGAATTGTATAACGAAAGCTGGTGGCACGGCTCTCCTTCTATATACATATAGTATTCTATTCCTGCAATGTGCGATACTTCCGCTGTTGTATTAAATTCCTATTGCAAGATTCTGATTTTCATCGAAATATTCAGATGACAGGACAGTATCGTGAATGTGTTGCTGTACCTGTCATCTTTATACAATAAGTTAAAGAGTTTTCAACGATATTAATTGTATTGTAATTGTATTGTAATCCGAAATACTACACACCAATCGTATAAATTCAATGAAATGATAATTACAGCGTTTTAGTAATGCAATAAAAAAAATTGATGTTTTGTAAAAAACATTCTAATTTAAACGCTTAAAAATATTGCGAGTAACAGTTATATAAAAACTCAGTAGATATTCACAGGAAATACAGGTAAATTGCCAGATATCGAAAAATATTACGCTTTCTCCGCGATTTTTGTTCATGTTGCTGTAAGCTGCGTTCATAAGCTGTACGTACAGTAATGCTACGTCGTTACATGAAATCCTACAGGTTTTCGATGATTAGTTTAGTGGCTACTTATTATGAACGACATAGAATTTCAATGATACCGCGAATTAGCACGTATTTTAACTGATGCAGGAAACGCGATAACTGACATAAAACTGTGTACTGCGAAAGATAGTAAATTGATTTCTAAAAATCTCTCGTACATTTTTATAAGTGAGTTTTATACTTTTAACATAGCGTTAGATTGATTAGAAATATTTTTGCATAAACTGTCATTGATTTCCAATTATTTTTTGGTAAAATCATGGATAAAGAGAATGGTTTGTAACGAATTAAAAAGTTGATAGGTACAGCTTTTTTGCAAATTGATCTCCCAGAATAAATTAAACTATAAATACAGTGCAAGAGGAGAAAATGTATAGTAGCATAGAAGATTAGAGAAGGGTTTGTTATTACTTCAAACTTCCTCGAAACTGAATGTTATATATCGTACAAGTTTCATTAACAAGAAGGAACTGCCACATACGTAAATGTCAAAGCTGAAAGAAACTTGAAATGATAATTGCTTATTAAGCAAGAAAGCATAGTTATTCGTGTGCACGTATTGCACTTCTCCCAGCAGAACAGTAATATGCCTCCTTTGATAACGAGAAACTTCACAGTGCATGATCTTATGGTTATGTACTTACATTTTTCAGAAAAATAATAATCTAAACACACTTATAATTTGTCTTCCTTATGAGTGCTCATCAAGAAACGCATTCAACAAGAATCACATTCATCACACAAAGTATTAAGAACATTTCTGTTCTTAATACTTTAGTTTTCCATAGTTTAGTATTTGGCGTTATACGATAGCTATATTGTTTCAATTCTACATAATTTTATCCCGCACGCAACATAGTAATTATAATTATTTATTATTTAACACTGCACCACGCAATCTATTGTTAATCATTATTATTTACTATCAATAAATATTTAGATTAATTTTCTAGAAAATAACCCTCGTGTGAGAAATATTTATTCTGTGTTTTCTGATTACTTTTTCATATAGAATGACAAGGAATAGGAAATTTATTCATATGTAAACTAACAAATTGATACTTCTGTGTAAGTGAAATAGATTCTCCAACATTATTAAAAAATTTCACGATAAAAAATCTGAAAGATCAATTTACGGTAGGAAATGAAGCACGCTCCGCCGGTTACGGAACATCCTAAATACGTCACTACGAAACGCTTATGCAACTCTGCCATTTTTCATCGTTCTATTTCGATTCCAAACCATACCTTCCGTGATCTTGAAACAGCAACCGGGCGATGTCGAAGCTCAATCGGGTAGAAGTCATTCAATCATCCCACTAATGATTACACGATCAGGAATATATGTCACTTCCACTAGCCGAATAAGTAATTCAATTCCATCCTTCGTGCAGCAACAGGATCATAACGAACGACAATCAACAACTGCTTCAGCGCTGCGAATTCCCTCGTTTCGCAACGGAACAACGATTTTCGCTGGTTAATTCAGGTTATAATTTATCCGGGTTATTCAAAGCTTGAAAATTATTCTTACTACGTGACGTTTTGTAAACCGAGAATTGCAGGATTTTCGTCACTTTCCACAGGACAATCGCCACGAGCTATCTCCCTTGCGATGAAAATATTAATTTACTCATTCCATATTCATATCAAGTCGATTTATTCATTCAATCATTTTTGCATTTCAGCAAAATACCTTTCCTTTACCTATTTTGTCCAAATTTCGTATTGCACATTCTGATATTTTATTTCCAGATGAGTAACAATGTTTCTACGCTTGTATTCTGATTACAAAATATCTGGAAAACTGGATTCATCGAATTTTTGTTCCGATCTGAGCTCAAGGAAACGTTTCGTGGAGCGGCAGCGGATTAGACAAATTTCCCTCAATTTTCCCAGGGGTTTAAGCCTAACTTTTTCTCGGTGCCTTCATGAACATGGTGGCGTCCTTTATTTAAAGATTATCGTTCGACGCTGTGCGATAAGAATTACATTGTTTTCGCCGAAAATGAGCGCGTAAGCAGCAAGAAAAGTTACTTCGAGAGTAACGTAAGAATATTTTAAACGCTGAAAGTGGAAAAGTTAGTTTTCAGTTACGTTCGGTACGTTTTCGGTTACATTACAAGTAAATGGATTTTAATATAACTGGATTTAAAGGAACGAAGAAATGCATTTCTCCGAACAGGATGCAGTGGGGTGAGAGTGAAGAATTATCGTTTGATTACTAAAAAACTAAAACTTGTACCGCTTGTATATTTGTGTTAGAAGTAGTAAAAAATGTAAAATTATAGTAGATATTATCTGAAAGTAAATTGAATTTTTTTGAAATAACCTTATTCTTTTATGTATTCTTCTATGAACAAATCGCAATCTCTGCGCAAAATTTTTATTAATTAATCTTTTAATCTTTTTATAAAATATTTTATTCCAAATAAATCCCGAGAAATCGCTTTCAGTTGTTTCACTCACAGTTCACTTAAAAGAAAAAAAAAAAAAGAAAGAAATTAACTACCCAGTAATATTCGGTTTTGTCACGTCTCACTATCGTATGGTTCAAAATGAACAATTCCCTTTTCAAGCGGGTATCTGTTACGTATTGTCTATCCGAACAATGTATTTTGTGTGAAACTAATTAACGCGTTCTACGCTTCATGACCTTTCACGTCATGATTCCTTTTGTAAATCGATAGAAACGAAAATCTTCAAATACGAAAAGTGATTTTGTACCACTCCCAAATTTGTTCAC